TTGCTAATATGGATTATGCTTTTAGCATCCTTTTTAAGAACTATTTGCCTATCTCAAGGTTATAAAGGTATGTTCCTCTATTTTGTTCTAAAAGTTCTGTAGTTTTATCCTTTACATTTATATCTGTGGTTCTTTTTGAGGTAATTTTTAATGCCTAAAGTAACTGAGTAAATTCATCCTTTTACATTTGGGTATTCAATTTTCCCAACACTATTTGTTGTAAAGATTATCCTTTTCTCATTATATTGTTTTGGCATCTTTGTTGACTATCAATTGACCATAAATGTAAGAGTTTATTTTTAGACTTTTAATTCTGTTCCACTGATCTATATTTCTGGTCTTATGCCAGTACCACACTGTCTCAATTACTGTAGCTTTGCAGTAAGTTTTGAAATGACTTACTAAGTTCTCAAATTTTATTCTTTTTTGAAGAGTGTTTTCACTATTCTGAATCCTTTGCATTTCTGTGTAAATTTTAGGATCGTCTTGCCAGTTTCCACAAAAAGTTCTTCTAAGATTTTGATAGGGAATGTGTTGACTGGATATATCAATATTTGAAGAGTTTCTATCTTATTAGCATTGAGTCTTCTAGTCTATAAACATGGAATGTCTCTACATTTATTTAGATCTTCTTTAGTTTGTTAGTCAGCAATGTTTTCAGATTTTCAGTGTACTAATCTTGCTCTTGTTTTGTTAAATTTATTTTTAATTTTTTATTCTTTTTGATGACATTGTGACTAGCTTTGGCTTCTTAATTTCATTTTTGGATTGTTCATTGCTAGCATATAGAAATAAAGTTGGTCTCTCTCTATTGATCTTAACCAGTATATTAATCTTGTATCCAGTGACAAGATTTTATTATTCTAATCATATTTTCATGGATTACAGTTTTTCTTTTTATTACTGTTTTTTATATGTTCTGAATATTTATATTTTCTAAATAATATTTTCCAAGTCTTTTGTTTGCTCCCCCCCTTTTAAGAGTTTTCCTTTTTCCTTTATCAAGTATGATGATATATATATTTTTAATGGCTTTCTGTCCTGCTTATTAAGAAGACTTTCCTATCCCAAAACTATAAAAGTAATTTTTCTATCATTTTTTTCTAGTATGTTCACAGCTTTCTTTTTATGTTTAAAATATTAATGCACTTGCAATATATTTTTGTAGCTTTTTACTTTTTCTTCTGAATGAATTTTCGGTTCTCCCACAACCATTTGTTAAATAAGCCAATCTTCTTCCACCTCCCCACTGTTTTGAAGTCCCATCTCTATCATATCTTAATTCTCCTAGAAATGGGTCTTTTTCTAGTATCTCCACCCCAGGGGTTACAAACTACTCTTTGTGTGTAAAATTTAGCTTACTGCCTGTTTTTGCTAGTAAGTTTCATTGGAACACAGCCATTCCTGTTTATATACATGTTGTCTCTGGCTGCTTTCTTATTAAAAGAACAGAGTAGAATTGAACTTATGACATATAAAGCCTAAAATATTTACTATCTAGCTCTTTATAGAAAAATATTATCAGCTTTTATTCTAAACTCTTCTGTTTCATTAATATACTTAATATTTACCTGCTGCTTTCTTATTAAAAGAACAGAGTAGAATTGAACTTATGACATATAAAGCCTAAAATATTTACTATCTAGCTCTTTATAGAAAAATATTATCAGCTTTTATTCTAAACTCTTCTGTTTCATTAATATACTTAATATTTACCTATCATTAAGTGATGTTTGCTTTAAGTTTCCATTATATGCCTTTGGTCAGATTAAGGGAGCTTTTTTAAAAAAATTAAATATACATATACATATGAAGTATGTTGTTGTTCAGTCACTGAATCATGTCCAGTTCCATACTTCTTTGTGAAATATCATGTCATGTGCCTTGTGCTCAGTTGTGTCCGCCTCTGACCCCGCGGACTGTGACCTGCCAGGCTCCTCTGTGGATGGGATTACGAAGTATAGTTGTATAGTATTATCTAAGTTTTAGGTGTACAATATAGTGATTCACAATTTTTTGAGGTTATACTCCATTTATAGTTATTACAAAATATTGGCTATATTCGTTGTGTTGTACAATATGTTCTTGTAGCTTATTTTATACCTAATAGTTTGTACCTCTTCATCCCCTCCCTCTATGCCTCCTCCCTTCCCTCTCTCTGCTGGTAACCATTACTTTGTCCTTTATATCTGTGAGTCTGATTCTTTTTTGTTATACTTAGTAGTTTGTTGTATTTTTTTAATTTCCTATATATAAGGAAGTTTTCTTAAATCTGTAGTTTGATAATTCTTTTTTTTCTCTTTTTAACCAAAAGTGTATGCTGAGCATAATTTTTAAAATTTTTCAAATGGAAATTTTTTTTATTATCACTAATATCTAGTTTTATTATGCTGAATTCAAAATATATGGTCTATGGAGTTCCTTCTTTTTAGTGATTATTTTTGTGGTCTATTTCACAGTCATTTTTTGTAACTATTCCATAGTTGTTCATAAGATCATGAGTTCTTGACTGTTTGGGTAAAAGGTTCTTTATTAAATCAGTGTCTTAAATTATTATTCAAAACTGTTTTATGCTGTAGATATTGGTCATATCAACTTCTGAATGACATGTTAAACTCTCCGAGTGTGATTGTGAATTTGTGTTTTGTTCCTTATATATAATTTCAACCTGTGTATATTATTTTGTTACAGACTTACCTTTGGTAAATAGGACTAACAGTTAATTAGTATGAACTGTTAGAGCGTACTGGCTAGCATTCATTCTGACCTTTTTAAATCTATGCCATATCAGTTGTTAAATAGTTTCATTATCATCCTTGCTATGCTTTCCTTGTGGCTTAGCTGGTAAAGAATCCGCCTGCAATGTGGGAGACCTGGATTTGATCCCTGGGTTGGGAAGATCCACTGGAGAAGGGAAAGGCTACCCACTCCAGTATTCTGGCCTGGAGAATTTAATGGACTGTATAGTCCTTGGGGTCACAAAGAGTCGGACACAACTGAGCAGCTTTCACTTGCACTTGTTGTTAATAATTTATAGCTGAATTTGGGGTTCTTTTGATTCCCCTACACACACCCTACCTTGAAGAGACTTAGTCTTATAATAGGGAAGTTTTTTCCTGCCCATGTAATTTTGTCTTCCATAAACTCGGCTTGTTGTTGCTTCTCCATACCCCTTTCTCTTCCTTTGCTAGATTTGTAAAAGTTGTGATGAGGGTGAATATTTGTGTATTTATATAATTTTTATTTCCTGTTCTGTGAACTGCCTATTTATACCTTTTACCTATGTCTATTGTGTGATTGGTCATTATCTTGGTTTCTTGATTTTATAGGTCTTTATATTAAGAAAATTTGATTTATTTTCTGTGATGTATACTAAATGGCTTTCAGTTTTTCTTTTCTCTTTTGACACTGTTTATAGTTGTTTTTTTTCCTATCCTATCTCTATAGATTATGCTTTGTTTTTTTTTTCTATCTTCATTTTTCTTGATTTATTGTTTTTCTCTGATTCATTCTTTCCTTCTAATGATTTGAAAATTATACATGCTATTTCTGTGCTTCCTTTTGTTGCTTGGAAATTATCCCACACATTTAAACCAAAGATGCCTTTTCATCTTTGGAAATAGATTATCTTTATCTGTAGCCTTTTTTGGCTTACTCCCTTTTTTCTGTTGTGTAGAATTGTGAATCTTATTCCAAATGACAATAATGTTAAGAAATTAAGTTTTTGATTAGTCTTTCTCAGTGATTATTTAGCCCTCACAACCACAGTTATCAACATCAATTTAAATTTAATTATAAATTACTACTTTATTTGTACAACCATTTCTTTTATTCAGTGTATTCCTTCTTGCATTTCTTTTTATTTTTCCTGGATGATCTAGAATCATTTTTTCACAAAACAAATTATATGGCTAAACTTTGAAGTTTTATATGTTCTGAGATGTTTTAATTTTGCCTTCATACTTGAGTAATAATTTGATTAATCAATTTATTGAGAAATAGATTCCTCTGAAAGTCATTTTGCTGCAAACATAGAAAACATCCATGTCACAGATGAGAAGTCTAATGCTAATTTCTAGAGTGAAAAAGCTATGTAGGACATTGCTATAACATTATAGAGTGAAAATTTATAAAGAAAAAAAAGTTGCAAAGCAACATTTGTAGTATACCTCGCTTATATGTATGTAGCTATCCATAGAGACAGAGGTCTGAAAGGGTATTTACTAATTATTGTCAGTAGTGATTGTTCCGGTTATCTAGTACCACATAATAAATTGCCCCAAAAGTTAGTGATGGAAAATAGCAACCATTTTATTGTGTCCTTGGATTCTGTCCTTTGAAAATTCATACGGGACACAGCAGTGCTGGCTAGGCCCTCAGATGGGAAGGCTTGAATGGTCACTCCCATGTCTGATGCCTCAGCTGGGATGGCTGAAGGATGTACTCAACTATGACTGTCATCCTGTGTGCCTACATGTGTCCTGTTCAAATGGTGGTTTTGTGACAGTTGAACTTTCATGGAGGTTCAGGATTCCAAATGCAAGTGTCACTGGTGAAGCTGCATTGGTCTTCTGTGTCTCAGCCCCAGAAGTCACATAGTGTCATTTCACTGTGCTCTATTAGTTAAAGCAGTCACAACCTACGCAGCACCAAGGGGAGCGGACATAAAACCTACTTCCTGTAGGGAAGAAGGTCAGGAAATTTGAGGCTGTGTTTTGAAACCATCACAGTATTGTCATGGACATGCGTGTTGGCTGTATGGTGGCAGGTTTTTTGAATCTCTTCTGTTCACTGGTGATCCCCACAAGAGTGCCTGGTACACAGTAATGTTTGATAAATAGCATTGAATGAATGAGTCATGGGCTTTCTGCTCTCCTAATATTTTTCTGTACTGTATGACTTTTTCACAGTAAGCATATATTATTTTTATAAATAGAAATAAAAAGCAAATAAAAGGTATATATTATATTAATGTTTTAATTTCTTTCATTATATCCTAGATATTTAAATGACTTCTATGAGTTGGAGCTACAGCATGGTTCTGGTGTTGTGGGTTGGAGCATTCCAGTGACTAAAGGGATTGTGCCTTCGCCAAGAGAATCCCACACAGCTGTTATATATTGTAAAAGAGATTCTGGAAGTCCTAAAATGTATGTTTTTGGTGGAATGTGTGGTGCTCGCCTGGATGATCTATGGCAGCTTGACTTAGGTAAGCTTATGTTGATTCAGGCTCAGAAATTGATAAAGGCAAATATAAAAATTGCCTTGAAAAATATTTTTATTACAGTATTGAGTTGTACTTAGATTTAATATGAATGGTTGCTGATGAGTCGAGTTGAACAAATGAATGTTTGATTTATGATAGTAACACTCCTGGGCTCCCTGTAAGTAGGGTCACCATATGTTCTGGTTTGCCTTTAATGGTCCTGTTTTATGCTTATTGTCCCATGTAATTATCAGCAGTACCTCCTCTCACTCTGTGAAGTGGCCCGGTTGAGGATGATTGAATTTATGTGGTTACCCTGTCTACAGTAATTGTGACATTAGTAATGTTACAGCTGGTCGATAAAAAAAAAAAACCCTGCGTAGCTATTTTAAGGGACCATAGGAATGAATATTTGGAAGATACATGTGCTGTCACTTCTGACTGTCTTCTGCACAGTGTGCTCTTACTTAAAATGTTAAAAACCTTAATCTGGTCTTAATTCAATATTGTTTGCACTCTAAATACACCTCTCCATTGCAAATACTAACATTCAATATAAATAGATTTCTGTGATTGATAATTTGTGTCAGCTGGAAATGTTTAAGACGAAATTCAAATAATGGTTTTGAAACATTTTAGCTTCATTTTGGTAGGTCCCTTTTTTAAAAAAGTTCTGGAAGTTGAGGTAATTCGCTATTATTAGATTAAGTTGCTAATATACTTGTTTTTATTTTTAGAAACTATGTCATGGTCAAAACCAGAAACTAAAGGGACAGTGCCACTTCCACGAAGCCTTCATACAGCCAGTGTTATAGGAAATAAGTATGGTGTTACTTTGTCTTTTGGTCCTTTTTTCTTTTTAACAAACTTAAGATATGTACAAAGAAGAGTGATGCTGCTAGTTTCTTGAAGATGATTTGATAATGCTTGATTGCACTTACTGAAACCAAAATAATATGTGCACAGGAGCTAAAATATCAGCATTTTCTTGTCATACTCCCCCTTCTGCTTCTTTGCATTCCTTACGTCATGCACAGAGTAGGTATTACATAAGGGTAAGGCAGAGTGATGTCAAACTTATCTATCCTCCATCAATAGATTTGACACACGTTGTTTCTTCTTACACGTTTTTGATAGTGCTTGATTCATACTCAGGTGTATATTTAGCTTCTGTGTTCAGTGATTGTACTTTGGATGGCATTATGGATAGAAGGCGGACTCTGTAACCAGATTACCTGAATTTAGATCTCAGCTTGGATACTTGTACTGTCTGTTCAGGGGCAAGGAAACTTAATCTCTCTGTACTTCAGATTACTCGAGTATCAGTCAGTTCAGTTCAGTCGCTCAGTTGTGTCCAACTCTTTGTGACCCCATGGACTACAGCATGCCAGGCCTCCCTGTCCATCACCAACTCCCAGAGTTTACTCAAACTCATGTCCATTGAGTCATGATGCCATCCAACCATCTCATCTTCTGTTTTCCCCTTCTCCTCCCACCTTCAATTTTTCCCAGCATCAGGGTCTTTTCAAATGAGTCAGCTCTTCGCATCAGGTGGCCAAAGTATTGGAGTTTCAGCTTCAGTATCAGTCCTTCCAGTGAATATTCAGGACTGATTTCCTTTAAGATGGACTGGTTGGATCTCCTTGCTGTCCAAGGGATTCTCAAGAGTCTTCTCCAACACCATAGTTCAAAGCATCAGTTCTTCAGTGCTCAGCTTTCTTTATAGTCCAACTGTCACATCCATACATGACTACTGGAAAAACCATAGTCTTGACTAGACAGACCTTTGTTGGCAAAATAATGTCTCTGCTTTTCAATATACTGTCTAGGTTGGTCATAACTTTTCTTCCAAGGAGTAAGCATCTTTTAATTTCATGGCTGCAGTCACCATCTGCAGTGATTTTGGAGCCCCCCAAAATAAAATCTTCCACTGTTTCCTCATCTATTTGCCATGAAGTGATGGGACTGGATGCCATGATCTTTGTTTTCTGCATGTTGAGTTTTAAACCAACTCGAGTATAAAATGGAGATGACAATAAAACCTCCTTCATAAGGCTCCCATGAGAACCGAATGAATCAGTACATACAAAATGCTTCCAACAGTGCCTAGTACATAAAGAGCACTCCCTCAAGGTTAACTGTCATCAACAAGTTCCCTTTTTTATGCATCACTGAGCCAGGATTAGGAATATTGTTTTAAGTAGAATTTAAGTAAGTACTTATCTCTGTAGAGACTTGATCTTAAAAGGTAATCTTTTAGGAGACAACAGTTGTAATTTAGAACCTCATTAGTTCTCAGAAAGTAACCATAAGCAAAATCTAATAAGATATTCATTTTTTTAAACAGCAGAACTCTTTTATAAAGTGTGGTTTTCTACTGGAACTGTAATATAGAAAACAGATTTTAAAAAATAGAACTCTGGTTGGCATGAGGCTACATGGCCTAAGCTCTGCCTGATGAGTCTTACCTCTTCAGTAACCACTGGGCATGTCTCAAGAACCTTTAGGGCTCTGAGGAACATAGTTTAATGTTTTTTATTTGATGATATCAGTGACCAAAGTTATATGAAACTGAATTCTCTTTGGTTACTATACACATCAATTCTGAATTTGACTTTGAATGTCATGCTTCTGGCTGAGGTACCCCTTAGTATACTGCATATAATATTGATTTTCAAATGTGTTATAATTGAAATGTTTCCTACTTTAAATAACTGACCAGAGAGAAATAATTTTGATTCTGTATGGCTTCATAAAATTATAAACTCTAGAATGAAGACCACTTTATTCATTATCGTATTTGCATTTCCTTGACAGTGATAAGTGATTTTAAGAAGAAAACCAACTGCTTTATGTTTTCCTTTTGTTATTGTTCAGGATGTACGTATTTGGTGGATGGGTTCCACATAAGGGGGAGAATATTGAGACTTCACCTCATGATTGTGAATGGAGGTGTACCAGTTCATTTTCTTACCTGAATCTTGGTGAGTCTTTTAAGAATTATTTACTAAAATAAAATTTATTAATAAAATAATTTTTATCATTTTATCATTTAAGAGAAGTTGATCAGTCATGGATATTTCTGTGTTTAGATACAGCAGAATGGACCACTCTAGTATCAGATTCTCAGGAAGATAAAAAAAATTCAAGACCAAGACCAAGAGCTGGACACTGTGCTGTTGCAATTGGCACTCGATTATATTTTTGGAGTGGAAGAGATGGCTACAAAAAAGCACTGAATAGTCAAGTTTGCTGCAAGGATCTTTGGTATCTTGATACTGGTAGGTAAGAGTATTTAACAAAGTTTTTCTTTAGATAAATAATCAAGTAATATCTATCTTTTGAGCTTTCTGTCATGTCACTGCCTCTCTTTTTCATAATGAAAAATGAATGGAAGAAATGATATGCGTAGATATTTTCCATCCTAGAGGAGTTTCTTAATTTCCCTCTCCTTGAGTTTAGAATGGACTTAGTGACTCTCTTCCGAAGGACAGAGTATGCAAAGGGGAGGCTAGTGGCTCTGCAGTGCAGGAACCTGGCAGGCGTCACCCTAGGTGGCCAAGGTCAGTGTCGCTAGCGCTAAGCTGCCTTGGCATCAGACAGTCCCTGCCTCCCGTCAAGTGACAAGAAGACACTTCCCCTCTGGGGGCCTTTCCCCAGAATGCACAATACCGTTCTAAGTATGAGAGCGTGCCAGACAAATCCAAACTGAGGGATACTGTAGATGTTTTACAGGATATGTGAACAGTATTCTCCAAAAGTTTAAAGTGATGAAAAACAAGGAAAGATTAAGAAATAAATAGTCACAGGTTGGAGGAGACTAAGGAGATATGATGACTAAATGTAAGGTTATCCTGGAACAAAAACCAGGTAAAAGCTGCATAGTCTGTAGTTTGGTTAATAAATAGTGTTGTTGTTTAGTTGCTCAGTTGTGTCCAGCTCTTTCCGTCTGTGGGATTTCCCAGGCAAGAATACTGGAGTGGGATGCCATTTCCTTCTCCAGGGTATCTTCCTGACCCAGGGATTGAACCCGTGTGTTATGCATTGGCAAGTGGGTTCTTTACCACTGAACCACCAGGGAAGCCTTGATAAATACTATTATTCCAGAGTTAATAGTTTTAACAAGTGTGTTAGCGTTTGGAAATACTGAGTTTAAAAGGTATATGGGAACTCTGCAATTCTTCTATAAATCTAAAATTATTCCAAAATAAAAGTTTTTTTATATATATTTAGTTTATTATATATAGTTTATATATATAGTTTATTATATATATACTATATATATTTTTTGAGAAATATTATAATAAAAAATAATTTTTAGTATAGAACTCACATCCATTTTTCAATAAATATTTATTGAATTATTGGTTGACAGCTGTGAGTAGGAACTGTTCTAAATGCTGAGAATACTTCAGTGAATAAGACTGATAACGTCTGTCCTGTCAAAGAACTTATATTCTATAAGAGAGTGTGAGGACAGAAGTTTGATGGCCAGTAATCAGAGAAATAAAATAAATTTAGCTTTGGGTAAGTATCTGAAGACTGTAAAATAGAACAATAAGATAGTAATGGGAGGTACTAGGAATGGGGTGAAGTGGGGTGGCTACTTGAGAATGGGTAGTCAGGAAAGGGTGAACTGGCATTTGAGATGTAATCCAAATGAAGAGGGCATGACAACCCATTCCAGTATTCTTGCCTGGAGAATTCCATGGACAGAGGAGCCTGGCAGTCTACAGTCCATGGGGTCGAGAATATTTAGACGCGACTCAAGCGACTTAGCACAGCACAGCACCAAATGATGAGAGGGTGCTATCCATGTAAAAAGCCAGGGGGTGGGGCAGGGAGGGGACACTGCAGGAAGAATGAAAAGCAAGTATGAGGGCCCTGAGATGGGGACACTTGGCACATTTGGCAACAGATCTGAGCTGAGTGAAAGAGTGTAGGCATGGCGATTAGAGCAATGACCACAGGACAGATCATGTAGGACCTGGAACGTCATGGTAAAGATTACATTGTTTTTAAAATACAGTGGTAGAGTGATTTATTAGTTTGGAGGAGAGATGTGTCATGATCTGATGTGTATTTTGGAATTGTCAATGAACTTGTGTGGAAAATAAATTGTAGGGGGCAAAAGTAGACACAGAGAGACAAAAAGAGGCTTTTGCAGTTGTCAAAGAAATCTTCAACTCTAGAGGTGGAGAAAGTGGGTAAGTTTGGAATGTATTTTGCAGTTCTTGTTAACAGAACTGACTGATGAGTTGGGTGTGGCAGTTGACAGAGAAAAGAAGGATGAAGTTTTTACCTTGAATAATATGGTGTTATTTCCATTTATTGAGATGGGAAAGATTGTGGAGAAAACAGGCTTGTGGAGAAAAAGAAAAGTTCCATTTAAACCTTGCTAAGTTTGAAATAAGGAGATCAGTTAAGCAGTTGAGGGAATAAAGAAATCTGGAAGGCAGTAGAGAAATCAGATCTGGAGACATAATATATGTTGTTTTATTTGAAAAGCAGTTATAAAACATACCTATGATTCTGGTTTTTCTTTTAAGTGTATAAACAGGAAAATCTGGAAGGATATACTGTATACCAAAGTAATAATAGCTTAAAGGTGAGATTATATATTTTTTAAAAAGGTTTTCTCTCTTATCTGTATTTTCTACAGTAACATGTGTTGCTTTTATAATGTAGAAAGTTTAATTTTAAAATTAAGATTAAAAAATTTTTCAAGATACTTGAAAAAGTAATAAATGGAACAATTAAGTTAGAGAATAAATGCTTTCTATGCAAAAAGTAGAAAAATGAGCGTATTAGGCTAGGAGGTAGGAAAAAAAATACAAAAAATTGAACGAAGTGATTCATCTTTAAAGTTGGGAATTATGAGCTGAAGTCTAAGGATGAGATTCTAATCAGTCTCTAAGATTAGAAGAAAAATGTGCACATATAAATTTTTTCCAGTGGCAACTATGTTACTTTAACAAGATTCTCTAAGAGATGAGACTTTTAAAAGATTAGAAATCACTGTCTCTGAATGTCCAGTTTTTCATAAACCTTTCCATAAAAGGCTATAGACAGGAATATCTATCTAAAAGTAATCATGGCAGCTATCATGAAGATAAAATTTAGATTTTGCTTTTTCTCTTGCTAACTTGGCATCAGTTTGGGTTGGGAAGGATATAAAGGTTCTTCATCTTGCCTTTTTTGAAAACTTTTAGTTAAGTTTTGTGCACTTGAGAACATATAAAGATTAGTATACTTCTATAAGTCTTTTTAAAAAATGAAAAACAGCAGTCTTTTGCTCCCACTTTCCTCCCATCTTCCTTGTTTCACAAGCATGTGCTTTCAGCTCTGTTAGACAGTTCCTATGGTATAACATGAATATATTACTCTTTTTTTCAATTTAGTCATAATATGCTCCTTTTTCAGATTGCGGAGGTCATGGAAGTCGAGGATTTCTCACTTCTTCCCACCACTCCTTACCTCTCTCCTATGCACCACCTTCTCTAACCCCTACTCTCTCAGTCTGACTGATTATGATTACACCATCATTTTGTTAGACGAGAGTTCAGTGTTTTACATTCAGTTCAGTTCGGTCTCTCAGTCGTGTCCGACTCTTTGCAACCCCATGAACCGCAGCACAACCAGGCCTCCCTGTCCATCACCAACTCCCGGAGTCCACCCAAACCTATGTCCATCGAGTCAGTGATGCCATCCAACTGTCTCATCCTCTGTCGTCCCCTTCTCCTCCCAATCTTTCCCAGCATCAGGGTCTTTTCAAATGAGTCAGCTCTTTGCATTAGGTGGTGAAAATATTGGAGTTTCAGCTTCAGCATCAGTCCTTCCAATGAACACCCAGGACTGATCTCCTTTAGGATGGACTGGTTGGATCTCCTTGCAGTCCAAGGGACTCTCATTCTCCAACACCACAGTTTAAAAGCATCAATTCTCTGCACTCAGCTTTCTTCACAGTCCAACTCTCACATCCATATATGACCACTGGGAAAACCATAGCCTTGACTAGACCGAGCTTTAACCTTATAAACATATTCACAGGTGAGCTATGTAGAATATCTAGAGAGGTGATTATCTCTCTTGTACAACTTCTTTATTTGCTATGGATTAGTAATGGTCACCTTGTTTTAGATTGGTATATATTTACCACTAATTCAGTCTATGCTTTCTTGTTTAAATCTTCTCTCGTTATGGTTAGATGCATCAGATATTCTATCAGATTTCCTCACCTTGAAGAAATTTCTCCTCCTCCAATCTGGAATGTAAAGGGTATATTGGAACTCTGCTTTCTACAAATTGAGCACACCTATCCTCTTAGAGTCTCCCTTCGTCTTCTTCCTGAGGGTGTCTGGCCTCTCACCTATGCTGGATTCCCTGCTTCCTGGATCTCTTATTTTCCCCTTTCTTAGTTTACTTCCTCATTTTTTGTAGAACACATCCCAGGAAAAGGGTGCATAGGTGATATATTTATTTTGCGATTTTGCACTGCTTGAAAATACATTCAGCATTCCTCCCCACCAAATTGGCAGTTAGAGAGGAAACCGATTTGTGTATCGGAAGTCATTATCCTTCAGAAGTTTGGAACTGGAGAAAATGTTTTTGAAAGGTGTCATATTGTATTCAGGCTTCGGGTGGTTTTGTTTAGAAATCTAAACCACTTCTGATTTTTGGTCCTTTTAAATGTGAACTTCCCCCTCATGCTTAATAGCTTTTAGGATTCTTTCCTTGTCTCTGCTGTTCTTGAATTTTATGATGTGTGTTGTGTGTCTTTTTTTAATTCCTTGTGTTGAGTACTCAGTGAGCCCATTCAGTCTGGAAGCTCATGTTCTTCAGTTGTAGGGATTTTCTTGATTTATTTCACTGATTTACACCCTGCTGTTTTCTCTATTTTTCTTCATGTAACCTCTGCTATGTGGGTGGTGTATCTTCTGGACTTGTCTTTCTATTTGTCTGCTTTTTCTCAGGTATGGGGTGCCTTACTTTGAGAAACATAAATAAACTGAGTTGTGAATAGGATCATGGAGGAATTTACATAGGAGCTTGGCTTAATTATCCTCTAAAATAGGGTTACAAGACTTTTTTGGTAAAGACCCAGAGGGTAGATATGGTAAGTTTTGTGGGCCGTATGATCTCTGTTGCAGCTCCTCGACTCTCCTGGTGTAGCATAAAAGGAGTCACGCTGTTGTTTAGTTGTTTCATCCTGTCTGACTCTTTTGCAACCCGGTGGACTGTAGCCCTCCAGTCTCCTCTGTCCATGGGATTTCCCAGGCAAGAATACTGGAGTGGACTGTCATTTCCTTCTCTGGGGATCTTCCCCACCCTTTCCCTTCCCTTCCCTTCAAATCCACAGGGAAGCCCAAAAACTGGACTCATAGACAATGCATAAACAAATGAACATAGGTGTATTTCAGTAAAACTTTATTTTCAAAAGTAGGCACAAACTGGATCTGGCCTATGAGTCATAGTTTGCTTTTGCTGACCCCTATTCTAAAAGATACAAAGAGATAGATATTAGACTTGTTATATAAAGATTAAATTATAACTTACAGATTTCAGCTCACTGAACTAAAACTGTTAGGCGCTCAGTCGTGTCCAACTCTTTGTGACCACATGAACTGTAGCCCACCAGGCTTCTCTGGCCATGGAATTCTCCAGGCAAGAATACTGGAGTGGGTTGCCATTTCCTTCTCCAGGGGATCTTCCCAACCCAGGGATCAAACGTGGGTCTTCCGCTGCAGGAAGAATCTGCAGGCAGATTCTTTGTCATCTGAGCCACCAGGGAATTTCAGCTCACCTGAAGAATAGATTTTCCTTATGTAACTGTCTAGAGATAGAATATACTGCCCTGGGATTTGTGCGTTCCCTAATTTGGTAGGTAAGCAAAAAGAAAACTGGGATATTGTAGAAATAATATTAGGTACTTTTTTCCAGTTCTAAGAGTCTATGATTGTTACTTGTTTTAGAAATGTTGGTAATATTTTATGCCAAATAATTACTTGTTTTGAGTAGTACAAGTTTTGATAAGAAGGTATTAACTTCAAAGAAGTTATGTTTTTCCAAACTATCAGCTCTAAATCATATTTGCTAACATTAACAGTATTTCTAACATGTGTTCTCCTGGTTTAAAATTGGCTCATAAAATTAAAAGCTCCTGAAGAAGGTAAAATGGTGTAGCTGTAACTGTCAAGTACTTGGTTTTCCCCCCTCTTCTAGAATTAAATTTTTTTTTAATTTGGTGACTCAGTTTAGACCTGGATTATTTTGTTTGTAGTTTTATTTGCATAAGTAATTAGATTAATACATAGAATCAGAACTCTAAATTATTTTCATTTGACCTGCTATAGCTTTGCTTATCTGAGTAAATTGTTTCCCTCTTAGTAAACAGATGAAATGTTCATTGCTAATGTTTTCGGAATTCCAGATCTGCACAAACTATATAGAGAAACTGTTGATACATGTGAAACTTAAATACTTAATATCCATTTTGTTCTTTAGAGAAACCACCGGCACCATCACAAGTACAGCTGATCAAAGCCACCACCAACTCTTTCCACGTCAAGTGGGATGAAGTGCCGACAGTCGAGGGCTACCTTTTGCAGCTGAACACGGACTTGCCGTACCAAGCCACATCATCAGATTCCTCGGCATCACCAAACATGCAAGGTAGTGTAATTTTCACACTCAAGAGTGTGTATGCACGTGTGCTTTACGGAAAAAGGATGCTATAGAAAAGCCTGTGATTAGGCCTGGTTTAAGAAATGTTATGCTATGATGTTTCCTGCCTGGTAAATCAAATATGTTGTGTTTCAACTCTGAAACTTGACTGTATTACCATCGTGGTATCATGACTTATACCATCATACAACACATAGATATGTAGGGTAGAATTTTTTTTTGTAGTTCATTTTGATGTGCTTTCTTAATTTGACATGATACTTGACTTGTTTAATTAGTTTCTGTAAATATTTCAGCTTTCAAAAATATTTTTAACTAACAGGCAGTAGGAAAGTAAAAGCAAATTTAATTTTACATATTCTTCCAAAAAGGATTTAAATCAACTATTAAGCAGACTATTAAGAAAACAGATAAACTTTGATAAAGATACTACTTTTTAAACCTTTAATATGTAACTTTTAAAAATATTTGACTGTAATATATTTTCTTGAAGTTTATTTATAGCATATCAGTCTAAACTTTCCTATTCCTACAGGAGTCAGGATGGATCCTCACAGGCAAGGCAGTAATAGCATCATTCCTAACAGTGTAAGTTGAAAAAATGTAAAATGGTAAATGAATGTTTATGGTTATAGTGCCAGTTTTTATTAATATTTCATATTACCTTAGGATAGGGAGTCTCAACCATGGCTGTACATCACATTCACTTCTGAGATTAAAAACAAACACACACAGGTTCCCATGCCTTTCCCCAGATCCAGTGATGCAGAATCTTTAAGATGATGACCAGGTAACTGTTTTTAAGGAAAGTTCTGCATATCATTGTGACAGTAGCCTGAATTAAGAACCCTTGGCTAGGAGATTGAAGTCTCATTGCACATAGTATCAGAGGCTTATATACACACAAGCATACACACCATATATATTTAAAAAAATAAATTTAGGTGGTACTACAAGTTCCCTACTCTGTTCCTATTTGCTCTTGATCCTGCCTCTCTAGAAACTACTACTTTCTAATATTTTATCTTTCTTCTATATCTACCTTTGTGCCTATAAATAAAATCCTTGTGCTGCCACTTCTTGACTTTCTAGTTTTAGATCAATTGTCTTCAATAATGGAAGATGATGAAGCTTTTTTTGTCTCTTAAAATATTGCTGTTTCCTCCCCTTTCCCTTCCCAGGCACTTATAATATTTTTAGTTGAATCATTATGTTCATTTCTGAAAATGCCTCTCCTCTGTTACATTTGGTTGGTAGTTTGGCTGGGTTATAGAATTTTATATTGGAAGTGTTTTCCTGAGAAACTGAAAGGCATTTTCCTACTGTCTTGTAGCATTCAGTGATGCTGTTAAGAAGTCGGATGCCACTTGGATTCCTGATCATTTACATGAGACCTAATTGTTTCGTTTTAATCCTCAGTTCTCAGAAATTTCAACAAGAATGTACCTTACGGTGTATGTCCTTGCTTCATTCACTGTGCTGTCCATTCAGTGGACTGTGTCATTCTGGGAACTAATGGCTTTCATTACTGATTATTTCTTATATTCCACATTCTTTTCTTTGTTACTCCTGTTATTGAATGAACTAATCCTCTGATTTAACTTTTCATTTTCTATCTTTTCTTCTGTCTGGTCTGCTTTCTGAAAAGTTTCTTCATTTGAATAAATCTTTTATTCAATTTTTAAATATATTCAGCCACATAGTTACTCTCTAAAAACCTGATCCTACTCTTTCTTTCCTTTATGGCATTTTATTTTTGCTTCAAAAATATAATATCTGTCTTATCTCTTCAAGAATTTTGCTTTTTTTTAAAAAAAAAAGTGGAGTTATATTCTGCTGTCAGCATTATTTCTTTTTTTCAAGCTCCTTTAAAAAAAATTGATCTTAGACTTCCATATTAGAGCCTATCAACAAATGTCTGGTGATGCTTGGTATCCTTTCATGTTTAAAGTGAGGCATTAAAAAGGAGCTTGGAAGCTGTCTTAGTCCATTTGGCCTGCTCTAGCAAAATACCACAGCCTAGATGGCTTATAAACAAGAGAAATTTATTTCCTGCATTTCTGGAGTCTGGAAGTCCAAGATCAGGGCGCCTGTATGGTCGAGTTTTGGTGAGGAACCTCTGCAGGGTTATAGACTGCTAACTTCTCATTGTATCCTCCTCACATGATGGAAGGAACAACTGATCTTTCTTGGCCACTTTTATAAGGGCACTAGTCACAGCTCAAAGGTGCTGCTTTCTTATACCATTACCTTGGGGGTTAGATTTCAACATGTAATTGCGGAGGAGACAAATATTCAGACCATAGTGGCTCTATGCATATGGACGTGTTTTATTAGTAGACCTTAGTGAGGGTTTCTGGGTGAGACTCCACAAATACTAGTATCTTTTCTCTTGGACCAATGGGTTTTCCCTGGTTTCCTTCTCCAACCTCTTGCTTATGGGTTTTAAGCCTGGGGCTTAATGCAGGGTAAGTGGTATCTCTCTGTTCAGTGTACAGACTTTCACTTAATCCCCATTTTCAGTAGGTTGCCTGTTCTCCATCTTCTCCAGAGAGATACTGTACCACAGTCCAGAGCCTCCCATTTCAATCTTTGTACCTACCTCCCTTCTTCAGTTAGAATCGAGGTGTGGCATTTGTTTGCCTTTATATACTGGAAGAGCAGAGCTGGGGCTACAACCACTTTCTTTTTAGTTTTAAATTCATTTATTTTTTAACTGAAGGATAATTGCTTTATAGAATTGTGTTGGTTTCTCCCAAAGATCAACATGAATCAGCCATAGGTATACATATGTCACCTCCCTCTTGAATCTCTCTCCCACCTCCCTCCCCGTACAACCACTTTTTATATAGTCTTCCATATGATGGTCCTCTGGTGTTTATTTGCACTCTGTACTTCAGCCTCCAAAGAACCTGATGCCTCCAATTTCCAAGCCTTTCTGGGCTCTTTAGCAAAAATGGTTCACCTGTCCATGACTTTACACCTACAGGCTCTTAGCTTCAGCCTTTTCTGCTTTATAAAGGCATGCCTCATTTTTTGCACTTCACTGTACTATGCTCTCAGATAGTATGACATGGGAAGTTCATAGAGAAATAAACTTGAGGTCAAATTCTTGTTTTGCTGCTTGCTGGCTACTTGACCATGGGTATGTTATCTAAGATCTCTGAGTCTTGTTATTTTCCATCTATAAGCTAGGGTGATATTATCCAATTTATAGAATTCTTGTGAAAATTAAGTGAGATTCAGACTTTATAAATATGTATCATGGGGCCTATCAGGTAGTATAATGGTCCTTAATGGTTGTGGATATCATCATCATCATTTATTAACAATAGCATAATCACCCTCAATTAGAATGGAGGTAGTGTGTGTATTGGGCTTCCCTGGTAGCTCAGCTGGTAAAGAATCTGCCTGCAAAGCAGGAGACCCTGGGCTCGATTTGTGGGTCGGAAAGATCCCCTGGAGAAAGGAATATCTACTCACTCCAATATTCTTGCCTGGAGAATCCCCATGGACAGAGGGGCCTGGCGGGCTATAGTCCATGAGGTTGCAAAGAGTCAGACATGGCTGAGTGACTGAGCACTGCACAGAGGGCATATTATGAACAAGTATCCTTTGAGCCATGAGAAATTGTAATTGACAATATAGTTCTAATTGACATTAAAGATGGAGACAGAAAAGTAACAAAAAACAGGTAACTAAAAAGAGGCAGGTGATATTGGGGTATTTGAATGAAGCCAGATCACTTTTATGGTTCAGTAGACCTATAGTTATTGCTATGGAAACTCCAATACTCTGGCCACCTGATGCGAAGAGCTGATTCATTTGAAAAGACCCTGATGCTGGGAAAGATTCAGGGCAGGAGGAGAAGGGGATGACAGAGGATGAGATGGTTGGATGGCATCACCGACTCGATGGACATGGGTTTGGGTGGGCTCCGGGAGTTGGTGATAGACAGGGAGGCCTGGCGTGCTGTGGTTCATGGGGTTGCAAAGAGTCGGACACGACTGAGCAACTGAACTGAACTGAACTGAACTGATATCACCAATGTAAATTGGTGATTTGAATTATCGAAAGGTTTAAATGTGTTTATTATAGTATCTTTAAGAAAATAAACAGGTTATTAGGAAGATTGCTATCCAAAATGTTTAATGGTGAAGAATATTGATATGTGTGTGTATTAAATCTTGATGCCTATATGGAAAACAGTATAAAAATAATTCGTATGCTTGAAGGTTTCACGTAACAGATTTTTCTTTTAGGAGTCATAAGATCTTTAGTAAGAGCTTCCCAGGGGGTGCTATAGTTGTGAAGAATCTGCTTGCCAGTGCAGGAGACGTAAGAGATACTGATCCCTAGGTAGGGAGGATCCCCTGGAGGAGAGCATGGCAACCCACTCCAGTATTCTTGCCTGGAGAATCCCGTGGACAGGGGAGCCTGGCAGGCTACAGTCCATGGGGTTGCAAAGAGTTGGCAATGACTGGAGTGACTTAGCACACACATAACATCTTTAGTATACATGTCTAATCTTGTTAAGAAAATTTGAGAAAAAGAAGAAAATTTGACCAGAATGTTAAACTCAGTACCTTGGGTGTTGTCACCTATTCAGTTCAGTTCAGTCACTCAGTCATGTCCGACTCTTTGAGACCCCACGGACTGCAGCACTCCAGGCCTCTCTGTCCATCACCAACTCCCGGAGCTTATTCAAACTCATGTCCATCAAGTTGGTGATGCCATCCAACCATCTCATCATCTGTCATCCCCTTCTCCTCCTACTTTCAATCTTTCCCAGCATCAGTGTCGTTTCCAAGGAGTCAGTGCTTTGCATCCAATGGCCAAAGTATTGGAGTTTCAGCTTCAACATCAGTCCTTCCAAAGAATATTCAGCACTGATTTCTTTTAGGATGGACTGGTTTGATCTCCTTGCAGTCCAAGGGACTCTCAAGAGTCTTCTCCAACACCGCAGTTCAAAAGCATCAGTTCTTTGGTGCTCAGCCTTCTTTATGGTCCAACTCTCACATCCATACATGACTACTGGAAAAATCATAGCTTTGACTAGAGGGACCTTTGTCGGCAAAGTAGTGTCTCTGCTTTTTAATGTGCTGTCTAGGTTGGTCTAGCTTGTCCATATTTACTTGAATACTAGCTACCACTTGTAAAATATAAATTTTATTCCCTCAAAATTTACTGTTCCTTTTCCCTTCAGAACTAATCTTTTGAGAATGGATATTAAGTGTAAAGAAATTTTCTTAAGCTATTATAAAATTTAAAGAATAATACTATACAAAATAAGACTATAAGCTGTTTTATATTTTGGAGAATTTATTTTCAAAAGCCTTTAAGTTGTAAATTATTTTGCTCGTTTTTACATATATGTCTATATAATTGGACATTACTTGCTGCAATAAATTATTTTCTTTCTTGTAGATCAGTGAAATAGTGAACAGTGTAAAATCTGAACATACAGCCATGAAAGGAACTTCAGTGAAAAACAAACCAGATCTCAAAGCATCAACTGATTCTAATGCCTCTTCACATTCATCTTTGGCAGCTAATGCTTCTAATCATAATAGTTGTGTGGTGGATATGCTAAGGAAAAATGAAGGTATAAAGATGGCATTTTAAAATAAAGCTAAAGCTTTTTATAATGATAGAGAATTTTAGAGTCTTTGAAAAAGTAAATGTTACATAGTTTGGATCCAGTTTCAAAATATGATATATACTTATCATATTGACCCTAATTAAAATGATGTCAGAATACCAAGCAAGAACTCACCTAAATAGTGATGATTAGTTATTAACTACAGAATTTAAATGAGGCAAGCTCTTGTATGCCATTTGAGGTTGGCCAGTGTGTTCAATGTCACTCTTCCATTATTCTGTTGTCCTATAACTATCTGTAATTATTTATTTTGGGTCAGGATTTTGTCTGTCTTATTCACATATATTTCCCCAGCACCCAGATCCATGCTTGGCAAATCGTAGTCACTTAATAAATAAATAAATATTTGTTTAGCAAATAACTGTATTATCCTTAGAAGGATAGTTCATTTATGAGAACTCTTGATTAGCCTGTTGAATTCATGGAACAGCTTATAATTTGATGGCTCTTATATTTAAAAGATTTTAATTTGAATATTCTGATATCATTTGTGATATATTAAATGTTACCTGTGATTTCAGTATCTAAAATTACTTTATAAATCTTATTCTGATATATCCCTGGCATAGTAATATGTGGCTTCATTTTTAATTTGAAAAAATTGTGACAGTTAATAAAAAGCTAATCCCTCTTTGGTAAATAACAAGACATATTCTTTTGATTTCCATTTTTCTTTAAGAACCCATGGTAGATAAAAATATTCACAAAAATAGTTTCCTATAGTTTTTCTGATTTCATTACTTGTGGAAGAGGAGAGACTTTGTTTTGTTGATTTGCTGATGTAAGGGAATCATTTGGTCAGAATTATAAAAGCTTGGTACTAGATATCAGTTTAAATTTTTATAGTGATTTTCTATGGCCATCATGTAAAGAAGTTTACACTCTTGAAAACAAATATGACCTTTGAGATTTTAGGTTCCTAATGTACTCTAAATCCTACTTATAAGGCAGTTTGGATAAAATTAATATTAGGCAAATGGGGAAATGAGTGATTATACAATGACAGTATCTGGCACATCGTAGATATTCAAATATGTAAATGAATGGCTAGCTAGTCTCAGGTTAACAAGAGGAGATTGGACTTTTCCTCTGTAGGTTGGAGTAGCTGGTATTTTTCAAAAGTGAAAGAGTGGCATTGATTAGTTTTTGTTTTTTATTTTGGAAAGGACATTCTAGCCTCACCATCAGGAAGAGCTATTATAGGAGATGTTTGGGAGACTTGTTAGAAGGTTCTTTTAGGACTTAAAGAGATGCATAGAGACTAAAGCAGTGGGTGAGATGGAGAGGAGAGAATATATTAGTTCAGAGACTTTTAGAAAGTGGCACCTATTAGACTAGGAAACTGGCTGTATATGAGAAATGAAAACAAGTCAAACATGACTCCCAGTTTTCTGGGTTGAACATTCAGTGGATGATGATACTCTTCATTAGGATAAGAACTACAGAAGCAAGAACAGATTTGGGAATAAGGTAGGTTCAACCTTGAACTTGCTGTTTTTGAGGCACTTGAGGAACATGTTGGTAAAGATTTCTAATGGGCAGTTGGATACTTAGTTCTGGAGTCTAGAAGGCAGTTCTTGGCTGGAAATATAAATTTCAGAGTTAACAATATCTAACATCCACAAGAACAAGGACCTTCTCTGACTTGTTCACTGCTGTATTCTCAGGACCTGACACTGTGCCTTGGACATACATAGTTGAGAGACGTAAATGGTAGCTAGAGCACCAGGGAAATATGCAAAGGGAGACAAGATAGGGCTTGGAAAATACCTGCATTTAAAGAGTCATTTGAACAAGAAAAGTCAGCTAAAGAGATTGAAAAGGCTTCCCAAGAAGGTTAGGCAAAGAACCAAAAAAATTGGTATCATATTTTTTTTACCTCTGTAGTGGGTATTACCATTTATAACTATACATTTATGATGCATACATGAGTGAATACAAGTCATAGACAGAAACAACTTCAAAAAAAGTATGTCAGCATTGTTTATATTTCAGAGCGGTCAAGTAAATTAAAATTGATCAGTATCCCTTAGAGCTAAGTATCCCTGGACATTTGTCAGAGCCATTTCCTTAGAGTGGTGTGCTCAATCAGATTGGGGTGGTCAAGAAAGTAGACTGCTCTGAAGGAAAGTAGCGAGGGAAGATGGTGACTGGAGAAGACTTGATAATATGTATAGACTGAGGGCCAAAACTTCTGCAGAAGAATTTGAAAATAACCCTGAAGAGAAAGGAATGATTGATAAGAGAGGATCCCAAAATACAGGGGAAGGAGTGGGACCAAGAGCACAAGAGAACAGATTAAACTTACCTTAGGAGAGAGGTCATCTTCTGGAATGGAGGAGAAGACAGAGGGACTGGGCAGAGTCATAAATACATTTCTAGTTTAGGACAGCCATTTGATCTATGGTTGAGCAGAGTTTAAGAACAGTGCTTCAGGGTTTAGAATGGACGAAGGAGCTGAAAAGTTGGACATCCATGGATATGATGCATTTTATTTTTCTAAATCTTGATATTTTATGCCTAATGGTTAAGTCATATGGCTGACATTTGTGGTGTTCACGTTTAGTGATTTTAAAATTGAAAATGCCTCGAATTGGGTGACAAGAACTCTAAGATACAGCAATTACTTGCAGATATTCATTAGTTAATAGTTAATCTTTTCCCTTTAATTTTAGGTCCTCACACTTCAGCAGATATAGGTGTTCTAAGTAGTTGCCTGGACTTAAGAACAGTAATCCCTGAAACTTCTGTATCCAGTACTGTTTCCAGCGCACAAACTATGGTAACCCAGCAGACCATTAAAACTGAATCATCCAGTACAAATGGGGCAGTTGTTAAAGATGAAACTTCACTAACAACATTCAGTACCAAAGCTGAAGGTTTGAAATGTGTTTCACATACTGTATTTTGAGCCATTTTTGTATAGAAATTCAGCAAACGTATTTGTTTTAGATGGGAATTGCATTTCATCTTGGATTGAATTGAATATAAAAAGATAAAGGCATTTCATTTAAAATCATTATATAATATATTATCTGCTGCACTGTAATACAGTCAGACTTTATCTTTCCTACCATGAGTTTATTCAGCAAAATTTTTTTTTCTTAGAAAAGATTAGTTCTATGCTATGGCATAACAGTTCTTATAGCTTGATCAATTTCTGATTTTGTAAATTCTTATTTTATGATTTTGCAACAGGAATTGTATTTCATGTTTGACAAACATTCTCTGAAGTTCCAGCTAGTCATCAAATCCTTGAAAACTGAGCTTTGTGAATTAGTTCAAGTTAGAGGGTCCGTATTTCTAATTGTTGTGATTTTTTTTTCTCTCTCTGGCTGTTTTTGCATATTTATAAGTTACATTTTAATGTATCTGTTTGCTCAGTGACTATATAAGTCTTATCTGATGAATTGTTTGATTTTTAGTTGATGAAACGTGTGCACTGCCTGCAACTAAGATAAGCCGTGTGGAGGCACATGCTGCCATGGTGCCGTTTTCTGTAAGTATGTGCCCTGCAGATGAGATTGCTTACTGATGGCTGAATATGCTTTAAATGTTGAGCAACTTCAACCTAAGTTCAGGAAAAGGCTCTTGGGTATCCTCTTAGTAATTACTTGACACAGATTGAAAAATGGAGGGTTAAAGAGAAAACTGTTCACAGTATAATCTTAAGTGGAAAAAGTTGGATAAAGAAATAATATATATAGTGCATTCCAAATTTTGTTAAAAACACACAGTACATACATTCACACTCTCACATGAGTCCACACAAATCTACACTACAGTGCTAGATGATTTTCTTCAGGTTGTGGGGCCAAAGATAATTTTTACTTCTTCTTTATGTTTTCAGTATTTTTCTATAATGTTAACTTTCATAATTGGAAATGTGTGTATATACAGAGATATATGTATATATGTAAATTACTTAACAATTTAAAGAATAAAAGGACATGTTATAGAACATAAAACTTAAATGGTTTTATTGCTGGCTGCTTAATAGGAGAGCAACAGAATATTGCAATTTTGAGTCAGACATACCTGTAGCATATCCTAATAATCTCTAACATTGGACTTTTTGGTGGAAGGCCAGAATTAGTCTGCCTGGTACCAAACTTAAATGCCAGGAATATGCCTCACAAATATAAGATTGTCTCAAGTGGATGAACAGGAGGATAATACATATATGTGGTTTTGTATATTTTTAAATTATCTGTCATTTCAACTTTATTACTATGAGCAAGAGTTTTTATTTAACCTAACATTTACCATTTAGAACCTTCAAGAATAGTCTGTAGTTTCAGTTTTCTTTCAGTCATGATTCTGTGGATTTTGATCATATCTTTACCTTCATCAGCTTTTACCTTTCCAGAATGTTAAGCGCTAGTGGTCTAATAACTCTTCTCAAAGAAGAATTATTAAAATGATTTTTTTCTCTTAAATCTGTTTTACAGTGCATCAGTTGGAATGGTATCTATAGTTGCAGTTGGAGCCAGTTGTTTTATAAAAGTTGTTGAAGACTGTTTTAACAAGTTTAAAGCTATTTCTCTTAAAAACCTTAAAGACTCTCTGGTTAGCTCACTTTGTCATGTATGATAGCATCAATAACAAGTACTGTGAATTATAAGCATGTACCTCTGCTATTATATATTTAAGACAGAAATAAATAACTGAAGTACATATTTGTTTAGAGCTTCTGGAAACAGTGTCTCATTTATAAAGAAGATGGCTTAAAAAGGATAAGTATAATTCACTTATCACTAAAAGTAGTTTAAGGTACAGGAAGTTTATTTGTTAAAGCAAGATAAAAATGTCAACTGTTTAATCTGCTCCTCTTTAGTGTATGCTAAATTATATTCAAATTGCATTTTAGTTTGAACATTTTTTCTCCTTTTAGGTTTGGAGAATCACAGGTATTTCAAGTGCAAAGATCACTGAATTTCTGCTAGTTGTTTTTGAATCTAGAAATAAGCCAGCTTGCCATGAATTTTTCCTTATTTGCTCCTTTTGGAGCGAGTTGTAATGTCACACTAAAGGGATTATTACATTTTCTGAGAGAGTCTCTGAAATGACAATGTTCTATAAAATAACTGGCATTTTAATGTATCACTGATTGGAAAGCATGCTAACTCCAGCTAGGTTGATAGCACAGAGCTACTGACTTGGAGAATGCCTGTCACTCCCTGTGTTTGAATTGGCATCCCTGTCTCACTGTCAGTTGACCTCATCTGTTAAGAGTTTATTTACTTATGATCTATTAATGTTGTGGTGTTTACCATATACCTACTTGTAGATCACTGCATGGAGTTATTAAATCTTGGCATTTCTTGTATATTCAGTAAGAGTCTTAATAAATTTTTCTTTCTCTGAAATTAGAAAGAGACTCCTTCAAATCCAGTGGCCATGGTGAAAGCAGGAGAACGACAGTGGTGTGACGTAGGAATTTTTAAAAATAATACAGCTTTGGTGAGCCAGTTTTATTTGCTGCCAAAAGGGAAGCAAAGCATTTCAAAGGTAGATATTGATGTGTTTTCTACACTGTTAGTTATAAGCCTTAAACATGGAACTTTAAGTAATCCTGATTCAGGACATTTGAATGAGTGAAATTGGGATCTGTTTACTACCTATAATTGAGAATTTTATATATATAGTTATTGTATTCTTTTTTAAGGCTCTGTTTATAGAATATATCACAAGCAGGTTATTTTAAGAAGTCTTATACACTCATTGGGTTGGATTTTTGAGTCATAAATGATACAGTCTGACCAGTACAGATAAAGATTTCTTGAAGTATCTCTAATGTTGTAACCTGGAGTGTTTAGAATGGAACTTTTTTTTTTTTACTTAGAACTTTTGTTAGTCCCAATTTCATAATTTAAGAAATGTAAAGCCCTTAACACTATTGAATACAGTTAGGACCTTATATATATAGATGAGACATTAACCTTCTAAGAATTATGAAATAGATAACAGCTCCAAAGCATACTGAACTAATTTTTTTCTGGAATGGGAATTGCAGAGGGGGAATTGCCAACAAAATGGATATTCAGGTTTGAATCTCCCAAAGATCTCGAAATGTCTCGAAATTTATCTTTATATTTTAGTTTCTCTAATACTATTTTCTGGTGTCCCACTTTTACATATTGAATCTTCCAATTCCTAACAAAAATAGACATCCTGGTTAATATTGTGTTAGTATTATATCTAACAAAATTTCTGACTGTAGTTTGATTTCATATATATGGAAATACCTGTATCTAAGGGCCTGGTAGCTATCTGTCTTTCCCAAAAGAAGGAAACATAAAATTTAGAGCTAGTAAACTTGAGTTTGACTCATCAGTTTCAGCACTTGACAGTGTGACCTTGGACAAATCACTTGTTTAACCTCACTGAGACTCAGTTTCCTTATCTGTGAAATGGAGTAACTCCCTTAAAAATGGGATGAAACTTTGGCACAGTGATGTAGTGGTGTAAAAACTGAAAGTTGTAGGTGTTATGAGCTTCCCACCTGGAGTATGCAATCTGGTTATTTAATTTAATATTTATTCAGCATCTGCTGAATATTGATTTTTAAAATGCTCTGTGCTGCATGCTAGTTGTTCCTTTTCTATCAAGCTTGCTTGCCTATGTCCAAAAGGTGTCATTCCTGGCTAGACTGACAGTAAATCTGAGATTTCTACTCCAAGTTAAATTTACATGGAGATAGTTGTTAGTTTGTTAATAGTGGTTAGTTTTTTTCTCTTTTCTCTGTATTTTTGATGTGCAGAATACCTTTATATTTCTTTTTATAACCAGTGACTCTCAACTGGAAAGGCACTTTTCCTCTGGATGAGAATCACCAATTTATGGGCTTATTTACTTTTGTTTTGAGGGGGTTCATTCCATGTATGAAAGAAGAAAATAAATAATGTGCACTACAACCCTAAAACTTAATTCATTCTTTAAAAGTTTTGTTATTCAATGAAAAATAATTAATTGCATCTTTTCTTTGACTTTTGCATATATTACATTTTAGATAGGAAATGCAGACGTACCTGACTACAGTTTACTTAAGAAACAAGATCTTGTTCCAGGCACAGGATACAGATTCAGGGTTGCTGCCATCAATGGTTGTGGAATAGGCCCTTTCAGCAAAATCAGTGAATTTAAAACTTGTATTCCCGGTTTTCCTGGAGCTCCTTCTGCAGTCAGAATTTCAAAGGTGAGACATCAGGTCAAGACTTAATGATTTAAATTAGTGAAACTTTGTACATGAAGTAAAACTATCAGTTTAGAGATTCCTTTTAGTGTCTGATGAAATGAGAGATATCTAAAAGGGGTGGATTAAAAGTTTTTTTTAATATTTTTTGCTAATCACTCATGATATATATTTATTTAAAATAATTTATTTGGCTGTGCTGAGTCTTTTTTTTTAAATTATTTATTTATTTTTGGCTGTGCTGGGTCTTTGTTGCTGCATGGGCTTTTCTGTTATTTATGGTGAGTGGGGGCTACTCTCCCATTACCGTGAGCGGGCTTCTCATTGTGATCGCTTCTCTTACTGTGGAGCATGGGCTCTAGGGCCCAGGGTCTTCAGTAATTGTGGCACATGGGCTCAGTAGTTTTGGCTCGTGGGCTCTAGAGCGCTGGCTCAGTAGTTGTGTTGCTGAGTCTTAGTTGCAACATGTGGGATCTAGTTCCCTGACCAGGGATCAACCTGGGCCCCCTGCATTGGGAGTACAGAGTCTTAGCCACTGGGCTACCAGAGAAGTCCTCATTCATGATATTTTTAAAATTTATTTATTTTTAATTGGAGGATAATTGCTTTACATTGTCGTGTTGGTATCTGCTATACATCATCAAGAATCAGCCATAGGTATACACATGTCCCCTCCCTCCTGAACCTCTCTCCACTGCCCACCCCATCCCACCCCTCTGGATTATCACAGAGCTCCATACTGATTTCCCTGTAACTTTCCATTAGCTATTGGATTTACACATGGTAATGTATATATTTCAGTGCTGCTTTCTCAATTAGTCCCACACTCTCCTTCCTCTGCTCTGTCCATAGTCTGTTTTCTATGTCTGAGTCTCTCCTCCTGCCCTACAAATAGGTTCATCAGTACCATTTTTCTATATTCCATCAGTTCAGTTCAGTCACTCAGTCGTGTCTGACTCTTTGTGACCCCATAGATTGTAGCACACCAGACCTCCCTGTCCATCACCAACTCCTGGAGCCTACTCAAACTCATGTCCATCGAGTTGGTGATGCCATCCAACCATCTCATCCTCTGTTGTCCCCTTCTCCTCCCACCTTCAATCTTTCCCAGCATCAGGATCTTTTCCAGTGAGTCAGTTCTTCGCATCAGGTGGCCAAAGTATTGGAGTTTCAGCTTCAGCATCAGTCCTTCAGTGAATGTTCAGGACTGATTTCTTTTAGATACGTGTTAATATATGATATTTGTTTCTCTGTTTCTGACTTACTTCACTCTATAACAGGCTCTAGATTTATCTACCTCACTAAAACTGACTCAGATTCATTCGTTTTTATGGCTTAATAATATTCCATTGTACACATATACCATAACTTCTTTTATCCATTCATCTGTCAATGAACAACATCTAGGTTGCTTCCATGTCCTGGCTATTGTCAGTAGTGCTGCAGTGAACATTAAGGTATATGTGTCTTTTTCAATTATGATTTTATCAGGGTATATACCCAGTAGTGGAATTAAAAAAATGCTCAACATTGCTTATTATTAGAAAAATGCAAATCAAAACCACAATGATGTATCACCTCACACTGGTCAGAATGGCCATCATCAAAAAATCTACAAATAATAAATGCTGGAGAGGATGTGCAGAAAAGGGAACCCTCTTGCACTCGTGGTTGGAATGTAAATTTATACAGCCTCTTGGAGAACAACATGGAGATTTCTTAAAAAGCTAGGAATAAAACTACTATATGATCCAGCAATTCCACTACTGGGCATGGTATCTTTAAGGACCCAAATTTCAAGCAGAATTACAGCATCCAAATTTTGGAAAGTCAGGGAGATCTGTGTATGCTTCTTATATTAATTTTGTTCTTGTTATAGAAATGAAAAGTATTATGCTAGAGAATTTTAATGTGTGTGTTCAGTCGCTCATTCATGTGTGACTCTTTGCCACCCCATGGCCTGTAGCCTGCTAGGCTCCCCTGTCCATGCCTGAACTTTCCCAGGCATGAATACTGGAGTCAGTTGCCATTTCCTATCCTTCCTAGTTGGGAAGGGGATCTTCCTACCTCAAGGACTGATCTTGTGTCTCTTGCGTCTCTGCTATTGGCAGGCAGATTTTCACCATTGTGCCACCTGGCATTTAATTGGATTATATTTTATCCTAAGATCATACCTCTGTTTAGAGAAGAAAAGCTCTGCTTTCAGATAAGAAAGATCTCTTTCTTTGGGTGTACAGGCAGACATTTAAGCCTAGTTATGTTTTTTAAAAGGGCATAAATTAAATGTTACAGATCCAGGTAAGGTAAAGTTTTAAAAATCAACAACAAAAGTTGTAACATTTGATACAGTTACTTTAGTGAAAAGCATCTTGTGTTCTAAAGATAACATAATAAGTGCTATTAGAGAAAACTTCAGAACCTTTATCTGTTTTTGTTTTTCTGCTCTCTTCAAGAATGTCGAGGGCATCCATCTTTCCTGGGAACCTCCAACTTCACCTTCTGGAAATATTTTGGAATATTCAGCCTACTTGGCTATCCGCACAGCACAAATACAAGATAATCCAAGTCAACTTGTGTTTATGAGGATTTATTGTGGTCTTAAGACATCATGTATAGTAACTGCTGGGCAGCTTGCAAATGCACATATTGATTATACATCCAGGCCTGCCATTGTGTTCAGGATATCAGCAAAGAATGAAAAGGGATATGGACCAGCTACACAAGTTCGATGGCTTCAAGGTAACAATAAAAAAGCACCTTTAAATTGATTTTCTTTCTTTTTTTTTTTTTACTGAAGCTATTGTGATGATTATTTATTAGTAACTGGTTTTGGAGATTTGTCATTTAAAAGAGTATTCTCTGACTGTATTTCTAGCAGTTATGAATTTGAGTTTGTAAGTTGTTCTTAAAATGTATTTGCTCAATTCTAGATCCAAATAAAAGTAGAAAAGAAGCAAAGCCTCTGAAAATCAGTATATGAATTCTTCCCTACAGTTATAGCTCTATTATAAAGAAAAATAGTAAAATTAAGATAAAAGCTAGAAAGCTTTATTACCCCAATATCTTTTATAAAGGCCATGTAACTCAGTCATCCTAGAGTTACTGAGAGGATTCTAGTAGCTGGCTGTTGTGCACTGTGCTGTCTTATGTGGTAAATGTTCCCTACCCTGAAAAGGTCCGGTCTTGGAGTACTCCCTCTCACTTTATTATTCTATATGAGCAGTGGTCCTCTAGCAACTATCTTCTACTGGATAATATTTATAATACTGATTTTAGTAGCCATTTGATTCATTTCTTTGTTTATCTACAGTTAGCACAGAGCTTAAGACATTAAAAAAAGAAGCAAGTTCAGAAACTCTGCTTTGGAATTTTTATCATTTTCCAAGAATCATGGCAACATACAAAAAGATTAATGGGTTTTCTTGATTCATACCGGGTTAATATATTGGAATATATTTTTGGCCAAAGCACTTACCTGGCCCTCAGTTTCCTGATTAATAGATGAGGGAGTTAAAAGAAGTTTACCTTTAAGGTCCCTTTCAGCACTTAAATTCAGTATGTTTATTAGAAGTGAAGTTTATCCCTAAATATTTTAACATCTGTCTTAATGGATCTAATTTTGCTTTTGCTGAAATTAAAATGTTCATAATTTAAAATTCAGAGTTTTATGTCCTCCTTATCACAGAAAAAAAGAAGCACCTTAACAGGACATGAGTTTTGAAATAGTGTTTTAAACATTTGTAAGATTTTTGTAAATGCTCTAAATGTTTTATTTTTGCATTGTTTTTACCTTGAAATTGTATAAACTTTTTTACAACTGAAATATAAGCATTAGACAGCTTCCTCAGGTTCCATTATAACCTTAAAGATAACATATAGGCATTATATTATATTCATATACATATACAGGTGACTTATTTTAAACCTTTTAGGAATTTCATGGTTCCACTGCCTATTCGAATCCAGAATAAATATATAGAGCAATAATTGCAGAAAAGACATTTCAGACCAAGCTGCAGTAGCTGCAGGAGGACAGGTCTGTCCTTTTTATACTGTGTAACCTTTTGTCAGTTGCGGCTGACTGAGTAGCTGTGTCCTCAGACTTCATGTATAATACTCCCAGCAAAGATGGATTTAATTGTGCAGAACTGATATGTATGTATGTTCCAGTTACTAATTTAAAGTGTATAGAATATTTTAATATATAATTTTTGTAAAGAACTGGGATTTTTATACTACAGTATTTGTAATTAATGTGTCTTCACTAATTAAGTTTCTCTTGAAGAAAATATGCAAACTGTTAGACACGTATTGAGAGATTCCCAAACTCTAAAGGTAAAATAAATGCACTACTGTGGTGTTGTTAGCATCCCTTTTTGTGGCTATATGAATCCTTGATCTCTAAACGTGTACTTTACAAACAGTGTTTACAAGGGCTGCTCTGGTTTGTTAGCCCAGCACCTGCCTTGGTGAGAGCTTCATTCTGCATTTGTTTAACTCATATGCATTGCTTTTGGCATATGCTTGCTTTTTGCACTAGTAGAATTTTAACTTACCTCATTATTTTGTTTGTAATCATTTGTATAGCTTCCATAATATGTCTGATATAGGCTAAAGAAGTACTTAACCAAAGTTAAAATAAATGGTAAGCAATTTTGCACATATTAAATGCTAGGGTTTGTTGTGTATGTGTGTGTGTTTAGTTATAAAGAGAGTAAGAATGGAAAGTTACAGTAAGTATATATTTCAAGCCCATTTTATAATCTACTTGCTTTATTAGGAAAAAGTCTGGCTTTTACCCCTTATTCTCTTCATTAACAGTTTGCATCTTGAAGCACTTCTCTTAATGAGAAGGAATAAGTTGACTTTAAGCAAAGAACAGAATATTTGAGTATGTACATTTCTGTCTATTTAGTATTTTGTTTTTTAGTTTACTTTGCTTAAATGCCTCTTCTGTTCCAGACTAGCAGGTGAATATGAACCTGTGGTTCTAAAATATGTCTTATTTTCTAGAGAGAAAGGGAGTCTTTGTATACCAAGGGATTTACTTTGAGAGTTAGCCCAAATTCTTAACATTTTGTTACAATTGTACATTAACTTCTAGTCACATTTATCCCTTTGATAAATGGTTGGTGACTGAAAGATGCCATAGAGGAATCTCTGTGGCTTTGACATTAATAGTTAATAAGAGATCATTGAGCTGTATGTGTATGAAGAGAATGGATGGGGATAAATAATAGAAGTGCATTTAGCTGCTTATGATTTGCACATTTTCTAAGTGAAGATCCTCTGGTGTTGCAATGGGTTATAACATACAGATATCTCTCGTAAGAGGATTCACACCGAGGTAGATTACTTTCTTTACTCCTCCCAGCTGAATAAGCCATTCAGACGCACAAGTCTTTGTGCCACAGTCCTCCTGGGCTCTGCAGCTTCGGTTCACATAGCGGTAAAAAGATTTTCCTGTAGCACGCTCTTAGAATTATGTTTTCTAAAGTATTGTACTGACTTCATTTTAGTTTATTAAACTTTCTGGCAACTTAACTAGAAGTAGGGTATTATAAACTCACTTTTACCCGCATTAAAAAAACAAACAACAGAAATAATCTGATTGCATGTATGAGCCCCTGCTCCCTCTAACCCAATCACATAAATATAATCATCTGTAAGAAGGTCAAACTGTTGATCCATTATTTCAAAGACTTGTAGACTAGCAGAGTTTGTTGCAGAGATATGGTCTGTATAACTGGAGTTATTTTTTTTAAATTGCAGCACTTGTAGGATAAAAATAACTTGTAACATTGGATACGAAGAGATTGTTCATATTTAAAAGTATTGTAGTCGTATGATCTTAAATGAAGTAGGTTACAAAATAGACTTGGTCCTTGACCATTGAAGGTATAAGTAACTGACAGTTATGTTTTCCAAGACTAATTTTAGACAGTTTTATGTACTGTGTACCAGTGACATGTAAAATAAAGCACCTTCTCTACTGTAACCAGTTACAGGTGTTATTTATTTTGAATTACATGGGAGAAAAATTAGTGATGGCATAGTAAATCTGTAGAAATGTTGATTTTGTATAAATCACTTAAAACGATATAGGCAATCTTGTAAATAATGTTGCTGTTAGTTGTTCAGTCACTAAGTCGTGTCCAACTCTTTGCGGCCCCACGGACTGCAGCACACCTTTTCCTGCACTATCTCCCTGAGTTTGCTCCAACTCATGTCCATTCTGTTGATGATGCCATCCAACCATGTTATCCTCTGTCGCCCCCTTCTCCTTCTGCCCTCAATCTTTCCCAGCATCAGGGTCTTTTCCAGTGAGGCAGCTTTTTGCATCAGGCAGCCAAAGTATTGGAACTTCAGCATCAGCATCCTTCCAGTGAATGTTCAGGGTTGATTTCCTTTAGGATTGACTGGTTTGGTCTTGCTGTCCAAGGGACTCTCAAGAGTCTTCTCCAGCATCACAATTCAAAAGCATCAGTTTTTTGGCACATAAAGAATGAAATGTGTCTAAAAACTTGTTTATGAGTTAGTGGATTGTGTTTGGGAGTCATTTTCTGATATAAATATAAAGCTTCTCTAACCTTTATTGTAGCTAAACTAGTATGCTTGAAAGTAAAAAAGCAAATGACTCAAAGAAACAGATTAACCTAGTTGTCACGTTTCTTTTCTTTTTTTTTTGGTCTTGTTTACTTTTAATATTTTTTTCTTTGTGCTTTTCATTTTAATTCATAGCAGCCCGTCTCCTGTCCAGGCTGCTCCATCAAAATGGGTGTAGCAAAGGTCAGGGATAACATCTTATTTCCCAAATCCAGTGAATTATTTCATTGCACTTAATCTTATCATTTGAAACGTTAATGCTTTAAACTTGACACTTTCACCTTTTTTAAGCTTCTTTCAAACTGTGCCCTCTGTCATCTTATGTACCTCCTTTGTCTGCAGTCCTCTCTTCCACTTCCACCTGTCTCCAGAGATTCACGTAAATGTTGCCAATCTGATGAAGCTTTTCCTGATGTAATTTATTTCTAGGAAGATTTGACTCCTTTTTATTGTGCCCCCACTGCCCTTCGTCCAGTCTTCTGTCCTAGCAGCCTAAAAGCTGTTGTGTCCTTACTTGTCAGCATTGTTCCTCTCCTTCTGCCAGGTGGTGGTCTTTAGGGCAGAGACTGGGTCTTTATCTCTCTTCCATATCAGCCATTTAGCTGGTACTTAAATATTTTAACAAATGATTAAAGAAAATTGTCACCTTTATGTCTCTTTCCCTACTCCCCCTCCTCTTCTCAAATTGCATCAAAGTGCAAGGGAGGCTTTCAAAGGTAAAGAGATTTTAGCAGATTTAACAAGCTTCTGGAGGAAACACAAGCTCCACCTTTGTCTTACTCTACCCTGCTGTTACTTAGGCTCCTAAGAGAAGTAAGAGGTAAGGAAGAGATGTCTTACTTATTTATTAGGCTAAAAAGGATTTAATAGGGGTGTGTATAGATATCAAGAGGGATTCTTTGATCTAGAAAGATCTGAGCATTTAGTGAAATCTGTCATTACTGGATATGTGCGTTACTGGATAATGATTTTTAATGATCAGGATTTCTGTTGATTTTGGATGATAAGGAAAATGAGCTAAAAATATTTCCAAAGTCAGTCTCTCTGATTTCCACACAGGAAAGCCGTGGGCAATTGTCCAGAAGCAGCTACCTGCCTATTTAACATGTAAGCACGGGGAGCTGCCGAAGGACACAGCACCAGCATTAGTGCCGCACTGGGG